ATTCCAATGGTCACACATGTAGATTGCTCAAAGCTGGTTGTGCATGGAAGTCTGGTTTGAATGATACAAATTAAACAATAGTGTCCATTCAACAGATTTTTAAAGAGGAAATGATGCTTCTCTTGACCACCTGAGGAGTACATCATGTTCTCATGATGTCATGATCTATGTTCATATGGTGTCATGATCTATGTTCTTATGATGTTATGATCTATGTTCTCATGATGTCATGATCTATGTTCATATGATGTTATGATCTATGTTCTCATGATGTCATGATCTATGTTCTCATGATGTTATGATCTATGATCTCATGATGTCATGATCTATGATCTCATGATGTCATGATCTATGTTCATATGATGTCATAATCTATGTTCTCATGATGTCATGATCTATGTTCATATGATGTCATAATCTATGTTCTCATGATGTCATAATCTATGTTCCCATGATGTCATGATCGATGTTCCTGCGATGTCATGAGATGTTCCTATGATGTCATGAACGATGTTCGGCGTCTTTGATAGCGTTTATGTTGTATTTTTATTTTCGAAATGTATCATTGGCTGTGTTTGTTTTGTTTAATTTTTCCTCAACAATTAACTGTTCCGACATCTCTTTCGTTTTTCGTCCGGCTGCTGCCAATCCAATGATTCGTCGCCGCTTGTACTCAAGCTTGTACTTGTACTTGTCAAGCGATTAATCGTCACAGTCATTATACTAGTAGTTTAAGTCCAATTGATTTGTAGAAATCAGCTATGCGATGATTATATGTGCAGTTTTGTTTTGCACACCCAGACACAAGCAATAGTTAACCCAATATATTTTCTGAACTACAGCATTCGTATTACTTAATCAAATTGAGTAAGGGTCATAGTGTGAGTTGTGTTCGCAAATAACAAAGTGTCAAATTATTTTGAGCGCCCTTCATAATAAATTTAGTCAAAATACATATCACTATTGATTGACCAGTTATATAGCTGCTTGAACTACGCACACAAGGACGTAAATATGTAAATACAGGTCACAGTTCGACTTGCGTAGCGAACGTTACAATGTGTCAAGTGATTTGAAGGCATCTTTGTCCCCTTTCCCAATACAGAGAAGCAATACGTGTTGTATTTTGAAGCGTCATTAAAACATAAATTTATTACGAATAAAAACATAAGTTTATACATACAATGTACCATCATCGTTACTCCAGCGGTCGGTTGGGAAGCGGACGATGTTTCTAAAGCCAGCCATAGCAAGATCGAGCGAGCGAACAAAAGCGAGCGAGCAAAAAAAAAAGCGATCGGTTTCCGGTCTGAAAGCAGCGAGCGGTCGGAAATTAAGCGGTCGGGGAAAAAAAGCGATAAAAGCGGGAGGTTGGGCGGAATGAGTACTGTATGTTCTCATGATGTCATGATCTTTGTTCTCATGATAAGCACGAGAAATAACCACACTATCTTCCCTTTCATGCAGATGGCACTGGTTATGTTGAAGATGGTAGGGAAATATTTGATGAAGAACTCAATGAAGACTGTTCATCTGAAAAGCAAGGTGAGACTACTCTATCATTGTCAGTCTCTGTTGTCCAGAAACATGCATCCTATAGCATAGCTACAATTTTTACTTTGATTCTTTTTCTTTGTAGGAAAGAAAGGTGGTAGTAATGATAGAAAAACAGCTAAACCTGTAAGTTGTTATTCATTTGAAGCACAGAATTGCGTGATCATTAGTTGTATGTGCTTACATGAGTTCTCATCTGCTACAGATCTAGACAAATTGTCTCCAGCTAGACTACATTGTGTACATATCATTAGATACTGGAACATTACTACATGTATGATCCTTTAATAAATATGTATGGTGTCTGTAGTCGTTTCCATCATGTTTTCATGTATGTGCCTTTCCAGTTAGTCATCTCACTGTCATTTGCCAGTTATCAAAAGACAATGCACATATACCGTAAAAACTCAATCAATTCGGCCATGTAAAAATAAATATTTTTGTGGGTGGGCCAATTGACTGAATAAATATAGAAAAAATGTTTCCGAAGTGGTCAATTTGTTTGAATAATTTTTCAACGTTTTAAAACTGGGTTCGAAGTGTGTATCACCGGTAACTGAATAAATATATCGTTTTCCCGAGATTAGAGTAAAGGTGTAGTACTAGTCTGAGACAAACTACAAGAGCGTTCAAGAAATCTGACGCAACCAGGCCACCTGCTGTTTTGTTGCCGTGGAGACGACAGTTTTATGTCACACTCCCGTAAATGTAAACAAACATGGTAACGTGAAAAACTCACTG